CCGTTTAAACACCCCTCTAGGTACGCATAGGGCACAAAAGCACAACGGCGATGATTTTGAAGTGAATGTGCGGATCCTAGCGCAGGAATCAAAAACATCAACGCGCAAAACTCTTGAGGCGCTTTGGATAAATTTCAAAAATCCAAAGATGAACCGGAAGGACGAATGCCTCACTATCACACGTGACCTGGCGCCCTATTTCAAAATGATATTTTGACCCCGGGGCGAGTCTTGCTCGCGACTCCACGTGAACTACGTGTGGGCCAGTCCCGCACGTAACATCACGGTGAGTGGCCTTTCTGTTCAATATGGCGTCTATTTGAAAGTTTGATCTTCATTAATACTTTAACCTTCTTTTCCACCGAATAATAAAAAGTATTCTAACATAAAGTACGTCCAGGCTCTGAGGAAGGCGAAGTCGCCGAAACGTCAGCCATCGATCAATAACATCAAAAACAACGACAACGACAACGACAACGAAGATCTGTACCAACCTCGCGTCAGCTTAAGAAGATCAGTTTATAAGATCTCATAAATAAATAAATCATCTATGTACCTGCAGTAGAGTATCTGCCGGAGACCGAGAACGGGGCTTCGACTTTAGACATAAACGCGATGGTAAGGCTTGGTGCCAGTCGCCGTTCTGTTGCCAACACCCTTATTTGCGCGAAGTATTTCCCAGACCATCGGAAAATCGAATAGTTTAGGCACTCCTTTAAGAAGGCCATAAGCTGCTGGATGGACAAGTCGTGCAGCCATACAGCCATTATTTTTCCTTCATGTTCAACAAGAAGTTCGAAGATGGCTTGCATTCCAGAGTCATTCGACACGTTGGTGTACAGTGTAGTAACGTCGAAAGACTCCATCACGTACGCGTTATTAGGAGAAGCGTTACGTAGACGTTCTAGGAACATTTGGGTGTTTGTGAGGTGAGCTGGAATGTGGTTAAGCAACTGGGTAAGTATCAGGCTTAAAAACCAGGTTATTCTATTCGTTGGCCCGTCTACACAGCTGATGATCGGTCTAAACTTAAATGATGACGGATTGGTTGACGCATGGTCGCGATTGCTGAACAAGAAAACGACGCATTCATATTCCAATGCTGAGGTTAACAGAAAGTCGATCCTGAAAAAAAGTGTGATGTTGTATTCATTGACGCAAGTACGCATGTTTGTGTATATGCGTTGGTCCAAAACTCTTTGGTCGCAACATCACATTGTTATCTTTACTTTTAAGCTCAACTGCTAACACTTTGTCGAGCAGGAGGTAAGCTCAAACATACCGGAAGGAAGATTGAAAAATCAGGACCACCAAAATCTGGTCATAAGTTGAGTGTTTTAAAAGCCTTTGCAAATACTTTGCTGTAATCGATGGAACCTGATATAAGACGTATACGAAAGTTCTGAAGTGTTATGAAGTATTTGAAACCCTTCTGATCAAAATAATTTCAGAAGCCGACCGGTAGCATTTCTTCAAAGCCTAGTAGGTCAACTCAGCGAATTCCGGGTGAGACACCGAAGGGTGGCGCGAAAAGTGTGGAAAAACTCAGGGTTTGCTGATTTAAGAATTTGTAGAGAGACCACACGAGAATACAAGATAGCTACGAAAAAAAAACTAGCATCAAAAACCTCGAGAGTCGTTATAATCCATCCGGTCTTGGGCTGATCATAAAACCAGTTTTTGGAGGCAACGCGTCTCATCGCTAGCATTTGATCCGCTCCGATGTAACCTTCCCAGTTCTTTTCATTGTTTGAGTCTCTTCTGAAGATCTTTTAACGTTACGATGAGGTCAGCACTTTAACTTTGCATCCTTTCCACAGCTTCTTTTAGAATGGATTCTACATTTGCCTTTTTGACACTCACAACTTAATTTCGTCAATGATTCTGATTCTCTCAAGTGAGTGGCTTTGACCTGAAACACAGATACCCGTTTGCTATTGTGGAAGGAAATCTGTTGAGCTGTTAGCTTGGAAGTGCATGGTGAGATGTGTTGTCGTATACCACCCGCTTTGTATCCACACTGCCATTGTATCCACGTTGGTCTCATATCTGCGTATACCTAGCCTAGAATTCAGGCCGTGAAAGCATCAGCACCATCCAAAAACGAATTCTCTTCTGTACACAGTTAAAGACAGTCTTCTATGGCAGGGTATTGAACTTGCTGAGAATCGCAAGAACCTACACATCAGCAGATGGAAATTTAGTGAGGAACGAGTGATACACTACAAAGTGATATACAGAAAAGCGGAGTGATATGAATTGAAAGTTATGTTTAAAAGAAATGCTGAAATGACGCTAAAAATGGGAGCATTTTTGAAGAGGTTTCTAGGCGATCAATGAAAATACATGGTGTCATGCTAATGTCACGAATATTTATTAATTCGGCTTTTTAGTCCTTCTGAGGCAAGTAGACGGCGCGATACTGTGCTACGTTACAGGGTTATCCAATTTTTGTTCAAGCGAAAAGGTTTAAAATGATCTTTACGAATAGGTGGAAACGGAGTATGCATTGGTGATGGAAATTATGCTACGGTAACGGGGCTACTATTTGCAATATTTTGTTGAAATTTACGAATGGAAGGTTCCGTTGTAAAATTAGTGAGAACTCACTCCTAATTGCAAATCTGACTGGGTATTTACGCCATACAGTGACGTGTGGTGCTTCGAATTAGGAAAACGGACTGGAGATCTTAAGATTACTACGTCTCAAAATCCTCAGCTTTTGAGATCTCCGACGTCTTTTTGATGTGTTTGCACGTGTGTCGTAGTGCACCTTGCGGATCAGACAAACACAATTGAAAATCGCATGTCCATTAGATAGCATCTATTCATTTGTATCACAACTGGCTAGCACCAGAACTGATGTGGTCAAGGTGGACTTGTGAGCGCGCAAAGTTATTGCGATTGGTCTAGAGAGCAATTTAGGAGAAAAAAGAGGAGAGTGTAAAAGAGAAGAAATCCGAAATGAAGAAGAGCGAGCATAAGAAGGAAGAAGAAAAGAAAGAAGAAAAGAAAGAAGATGAACACAAAGCTGAGAAAGAGGAAGAGAAAAAGGAGGAAAAGAAGAAGCTTGATCTTAAGCCGAAGCAAATCAAGAGGAATGAAAAAGAGGTGATTTACTAGATCCCATGCATGCATTTCCTGTATTTGGAGAATTTTTTCTCTCGATTCGTCGATGCTTTGAACCTTTTTTCTCAATTTTTAACTTTGTTCTGGAAATCAAAAAAACCTTGGGATCTCTTCAACATATGAAAGTAATGGCTAAAAATAAGCATAGGAGTTATAAAAACCACATTCTTGTTGCTACAGAGTAAGATATTAAGGAACGAATCGCTCAAGGAAAAGAGGTCAGAAACAAAGGTGACTACCCCACGTTCAACGACGTCGAGAGTGACTGGGACTCAGACAAGGAAAAGGTTCTACTGTGTCATTATACTCAATCCTAGGTTCTTTAAGTAGAACGGAGAAATGTTACAGAAAAACAAGAAGAAAGAAGGTGATCAGAGAAAAGACGATGATAAAAAAGAGTCAGCGAAAGGCGATGGTTTTAGTGACGATATAGCTCTTAAAGCGACTCAATCTACTAGTGCACCTCTAGCAGGTGGGTTGACTCCAAGTGCCAAGTCACTTGAGTTAGGAAAAATCTCAGGCCATCTGATATTCAACTACTTCAAGAGTGACATTTTTCGAATGTTCAACCAATAGAATGTTGCACAATCTGCCGACAATCAAACTGCTTTGGCGGACTTTTTTTGAAATCTGGATGATAAATTTATCACAAAACAGGCAAAATATGACCATTAGCTATTAAAATCAACGTATATTCAAATTCTTGGAAATGAGTGAAGGCTACATTTTCTACATGCATAACGGTTTTAAAAAGAGCGCGTGTGGCGCAGTGGTCGAAGGCGCCCCGCAGCACACACATGGTATCGATCCCGGGGCCCGTGGATCACCAATCTTTCCATCCCTCCGGGGTCGGCAAATTGGTACCAGACTTATCTGCACTGGCTCGACACTTCGGTAAGCCACCACGAGTCATTGTAAAAGCTAGATATGCATTCGATCATTTCCAAACGATGCTTAATGAAGTTGGATGCATGGTGCATTCCTCAGGAATTGATCAACGCCGAGTGCTTCGTCCTTTTTTGTAGCGGGATTTTTAGAGGGGAGCAAAAGAGTTTCTTGAAGAAAGTTTGAGGTTCACTGCTGGTGTAATGGCTATTTTTCTTAATATAAAAAACAAAAGGTCACTAGACATAAGGAGCGCAGTGCTGAAGGCAGACTACAGCATATTCATCAGCGTAGGAGTCGATTAACTTTCATGGCGAATGTGCTGTAGGTAGCTTCGGTTGCACGTCCCCAGCAATCAATATGCATAAATTGAATTGACCACGGTGGAGCCCTAATATGAAGTGACTGCACTGTTTCAGATCAATCCGAAGGGAAAGCTACGTGATATAGACTGAATAGTTTTCTCCGTGCGATTCTATTTTCACTTACACTCCGAACAAAGAATTTTTCCATTTCAATAATTCTCGCATAAACTGAATAAAGTTCAAGGAACGGTGCTTCGTACTCAGTTCCTTTTTTGATTTTTGAGACGAATATTCCCATCCGTATAAAAGGAGGTGGGGACTGCGCTGTACTGTGAACAATGAGTAATGTGAACGATGGTGGCGTTGATCGATAGAACTAGCTAAGATAGAGGAGAACGAAGGACCCGCATGGTGTGGTGCTGAATGCGTTAGCCTCTGGAAAGGGTAATACCGTGTTCGTTCTCTATCGCAGACACCTGCGGTCCGGAGTTTATCTCAGCATCATTGAAGTGATGGGAACTTTAATCAAAAACGGCACGAAGCAGTTCAGAAGTTCCGGAAGTACTACACATAGGTAAGACAACTAAGATCGGACATGCACTAAGCAGACAGACACATTGGTTCTTTTAGCTGTTTTAACGATAAACTTTATGTGATAAGCGAAGGACGTCAACCCCAAAATAAATTCTTCAATGCGGGAGACACATTACAACATAGAAACCTTGTGGCGAAAAGCACGAAGAGGACTGCTGTATCCTTTATTGGTATAGATCGCTACGCAACAAACATACAGAGCTTAAATATGACAATTTGTTTGTGAAAACCACCAGCCTACCCATCTCATCGTTGACGATGCTTTTCACCTTCAAAGCACCTCGACAAGTAGTTACTAGGAGAGCTTTCAACAGCCTACCTCCTGGAAATCTATTTAAATGACTCTTCTGCACAAGACGCACATGCTTTCACCGTCGAGCAGCAAATAGACTTCCTTCAGTTAGTAAATATTCGTGTACTCTATTGGCTCTTTAACCGACTATCAATGGGTAATTCGCTGAAGTTGAGCGCGCGTGGTGCACTGTCTAGAGACGATTACAATACACTACGTCCTTGTTTCAACCTCACAGCGCTGGAAAACCAGGGGTTTCATTATTCCCGAGCGGCGAGTACCAGTTCGTGATCCAAATATGTTTGGAAACAGCTCTACAAAGCCTAGTGGGGTCGAGTCAGCGCGTCTCTAAGCTATTGATCAACATGGAATGTTTTATCTTCCTACTGCGTTGAAAGAAATGTAGTTTGAAAACTGAAATAACATTTTATCAAAATAGTAATAAATCGGGGACTACAAGAGGGTATAGTGGCACGAGATAGTGGAAGACACCATCAAGATCTCGAGCGTCGTATATCGCCTCATTTCAATTTTTTCGCGACACCATGGGCACTATATTGCCCATTCTTAGCTCGTTGGGAGCCAGAATTTGTATGTTCGCTATACCTACACTAAGTATATTCATTTGATACGCAGATCAAAGTGTGAAAGGTCGGATCAGAAAAGGTATTCTCTGTCCTTAGTGATTTCTAAAAGGCCTTTTCCTAGGGAGTGTTCATACACCGGCTTCATTATGGCTATGCCGATAATATTAGAGAGCAAAGTCTCTTCCACAATCCAATTTACATATTGGCAGCTCTTAGGTTTTCTCGTTATTGAAAAATTATTAGTCGTTGCCAGAACGTTAGCAAACATGTGTAGACCGAAAACTATTTGCCGCCCTATGCGGTTGTCAGCAAAGCTGGGCGTCATCGTGAGTGGATTAATGCAGACATGAAAGACAATGGAGAAATACCTTTTAAATGGTATACCTCAGTAAATGTTTATTTTGTACTTGTTTAATTTTATTTTCTTTTCACCTGATCCGTCTTCAGATCTATTGTGCTGATCCCCTACTTCGTCCACTCGACTCATTTCCTCGCCACCATCATCCACGAAGGTTTTCGAATATTTGCGTGTTCTTGTGTTCTTTCGGCTACTGCCTAAGGACCTTGCCTTGTTCTCAATGTCGTTGAATACCGATGCAGTCGATTCCCTTTATAGTCCTGGGAATGCTTGGCTTAGAGGTTCGCACGAGGATTAGAAGGACTGGAAACTTTCCAAGTAGCCTTGTACCAATTTCGCGACCAGCAAAGGATGGCGAGCTTGCTTCGCTGGAATAGGGTAATAATGTTGAAACAGCAAGCAATAAAGTTGAAGTGTGCCTAAAAAAGATTGTAAAGCTTCTTTTTCAGTACGAAAATTTAAGTTTATCAACTTTAAGCTTTCGCGTTTTTAAAAGAAAGAGTAACAGTTATTTAACAATGCGTTGAAAGCTATTGAATACACCACAGCTGGTCACAGTTGATCACAATAAATCTCCGTATATGGATCATATAGGTATTGATTGAAGACGGCTTAACGGAAAAAGAAGTACAGTAATTACGTGCTCATTCTTTCTCTGCGCTTTCACCTGTTTTGTTTGAACCCTCTTGGGCGCTGCAGAAATGATGAGATCCAATTCCTTCCTTTATATTTAACTATTTCACTGTTAAAGAACGCCTTGCGAGCTATTATTAGGGTTTTCGGAAATTGGTGCCAAATTTGCAGTTCCATTTTTTAAAACTTTTAGCAATGATATCATTTCGAATTTCGCGTTGCTATAGGCGATTTCAAATCCAATTTTATAGATTTCCGCCTTGTATGATTCAATTATACTATAAATTGTGCTGTTGACAAACTTTAAAGGCTAATATTTCAAATGTCAAAGAACCACTTTCGGCAAATCTACTTCTACGAATTCAAACTCGGACATAGGAAGGGCAGTTGGATCGAAAGGTTAATGAGGTGTAGAGGTTAAAAACTGTGAAATTTCGTGCTATGCATTTGTTTAGAGAAATGTTGTCGTGGCGAATTCGACTTTGAAGATGGGTGAGGTCGTAAATGCTCTTCTGCTATTGACGACGACGAATTGAAAACTTTCCTATAAGCAAATACACGCACAGTTTCTCGGTGACTTGTAGAAGAACTTGGTGTAAGCATATGATCTCTTTTAGAGCACATACCAAAAGGTGGGAAAATGGATGCCGAATGAATTAGATGACAATCTGAGAAATGGTCGTCTCTAGATATCGTCGGCACTTCTTCTGCTCAACCAGAACTACCCCTTTCTTAAACATATTGTGACATGCGACGAGAAAGCTTCACAAAACCGAAATTGCATCAAAAAAGCTCAGGCGTAACGTTTAGTTATGCAGAAGCGGTTTGATCCACTATTGCCTCTTGAATGAAAGTGGAATTAGCTGGAAAATAAAGCTATACTTCATCCGCTATTCTAGTCAGACACCTGCTACCGGTTAGCACTTGTTTAGACATCTCAACAACCCCTATCCGAGAAATGCTTCGAAAACTGACCCGAAACCGAAACTGCCTTCATTGTCATCGTCTTTCATCGTCTTCAAAACTCCAGAATTTTATACAGCTGGTATCAACAAACTAGTTTTTGATTTGCAAAGATATTTAGACCCAAACGATTTTCATTTTCATTAATAAAGTGTGTTGTGGGTTGAGATTGTCTACTTTAAAAATACTGCTTGAAATCCAACATTAATTTACGGAAGACCAAATAGTAATAGGTCAGCCCAGTGACAAACGAGGAGTTGGATGAGGCCTTCGAGCATCGCGAAGATGGAGTGCACCTCTACGTAGTGCGGAGGCTAACGCATCAGCCCCCGGAAAATGTAATCGCGGGTTCGAATCTAACCTGGAGTCCAAGTTTTTCAAATATCTCAACATCATAGTTATGTAAGCTTCGCTGGCCATTCTAAATAGTGATTGTCGGTTAACGTTTTGTAAAATAATTTTTTGGCAAGTTGTTTGCATGTCGCAGTTTTAAACTGAGCTGACGATATTTGCCAAACAGCTCTGCTAGGCGTCGCACGATACGTACCTTTCCTTGTGGGAGAAGGTGCATTCGTAGTGGTAGAAGGCGCAGATGTTAAGAAACTTGGTGATTGTTGAAGGAAGATTTCATAGTCGTAATGTAAGCCGAAGGAAAAAGATTCATAAGTTTTGAGATAAAATTCCTGTTTAATCTCCTTAAAAAATACTTGAGTCGCAAAGAAAACAGTCAATAAAGAAGATAGTTATTTATTAACATAAACATTTTTCCATATTTCAGCCAAACAAACGGAACTATGAAATCGGTAAAAGATCGTCAGCGGTGAGAAACTGCGAACCAAGAACACCCATGATCGTTTTCCGTAGAAATCTGCAATATCACGATTCAAAATCAGTCAGAACATTTCTGATGTCAAACGCTCACCTATGATGCTCTCGGAAATGCCGGGTTTCTCACTCTCGAACAGATTCATCAAGAATATCGAAAGGTTTGCAACAAGAAGGAAGGTGATCGCCTGTTTTCCAGGCTGATTCTGCTTATTCGAAGCGCCAACTCTCACTCTGGCAGCGAGATAGATAAGGAATGTCTGAGTTCCAACCTAGAATATGAAAAACCATTTTTACAAAAAAGCAACTCGAAAACGCTATTCAATTGTTGGAATCTTGTTGGTACAAGAAGCTTCAAAACCCGATCGAGTCGTTTCTTACTTCTCTAGCATGGCTCACCTGTATAAGTCTGAAAATATGAACAAAAAATAGAATAAAAGCTAGCAGTTGCCACGGACCATCGCCAGTCAATCCAACGAGCCCAGCAACCGAATAAATCAATTCACCAATCAAACCCAACCAAAGCAAAATTTGATCCAGAAGCTCCTGAAATAAAATGAGGATGCCAATTTACATTATTGAGAACTGATTTTTTTCCCTATGGACACACTTTCACTCACGCAGTTTTCGCTCTACAAAATGCCATAGTGAACCCCAAATTATCTCCTCAATATGTATTCTTTCTTGATAAGCTTGCACGAGGTTGATAAATATATTTATCTTTAATATTTATAAATATATTTATCAACCTCGTGCAAGCTTATCAAGAAAGAATACATATTGATTAGTCACACCGAGGTTTAGAGAAAGTCGGTTTCGAAATATTATCTCCTCAATATTTCAAAGCTGACAATCTTCAACAATCGAAAAACTCTTGATCTCTCTAGTGCTAAACGTTTTAGATCCATAATAGAATTTACACTATTTTTAGTTCGCTGATACTTGAGTGCCAGTCTTCGCATTCAGTTCTGGTCGTTGAACACTCTTTTTCGTTTTGTCGCCTCTTAACCAACCACAGCGGCTTCGTCAGGATATTGAATTTTCTTTTATTCATGACAGCCGCTCTTTTTGAATCGTTCGTAATATTTTCTTGCTGGAAATTTTCCAGCAGTGATCTTCTGAAGTTGTCGATTGTTGGCGTCGTGATGTGGCAGGACTTAACTGCAGTTTTCTTCTGCTTCCGTGCAACTTTTTGGAGACAGCGCAAATTAAATTCGAACCGCATGGTTGAGAAATTGAAGCGCGCTTAATGCAGCTTTCGATTACTTTATTAAATGCACTGCAGTCAACCATCGGGTCATTGTTAATCAGCCAGTAAGGAAAGGATTTATCTTGATAGCTCTTGTCACTTACGACTTGTCTCTTTCTTGGTTAACGATGAAAATTTCTTTTACAGTAGGTGGTGGAATCGAATGGAGATGTTGATCGGGTGCAGTACATAATGGTGGCACCACAGAGGTGTCAAAGAGTTACCGCATACGCCTCGTGTGGATGTGTTCGATCTCCATATTAACTAATCCCCACTTCAAGTATCTTTTTTTTTCTTAATTGTACTCACGGCACATCATGAATATGAAAGGATACCGCAAGATATTTCTTAAAAAGCTATGAAGAATTTGGTGCCGACACAAATCATAAAAGCGGGCGCCTATGTAACCAAGTAATTCTTTCTTTTAGGTACCTAAGTAAGTATTTGTTTTCAAAACTTTCATTTTCACTTAACTGTTTCGGCGATGAAGCCTTCAAGAAGAAAAAAACATATATGATTTTAGATGCAGGCCACCTCCTCTGAAAGTTTACAGAACGCATCCAATTTGCTCCCAATAGCTCAAAGGACTGCGGCTAGTAAATGGTGATACTAATCATCCTTTGACAAGGTGGCTAAAGGTGGATCAAACCAGAAGAGAAAATAAGATACTGCTATATAATATGTGTACGATGAAGTCTACCAAAGGGTCCAGAGATATTCTCCGAAAAGTGCTACCTACGGGAAATAATGGCCTATCGGGTTTATAACAAGCCGAGATGTGTCTTTCTTCTCTGAATGCTTAAAGCAGCCTTAATGGAAGGTTACCAAACTTTGTCCATCGATTACTGCTGGACAAAAAACAGCTAACCACCCTCGGGACACATTTCTATCAGGACGATACCGATTCCTCGCACTGGTAAGATAGACTTCTAAATTGAAATAGCGAATTCCTTTTTAGCCTGAGCAGTTCTGTTTGCTGATGAACACTCTGCAAGGTATCACAGTTCGACACAAGGATCCTTCATCAGCGTAAGATGGAAAAGCATTACGGGGACAGCAGTTGTTACCTATCAACGTCCATCCAGTGATCGACTTGTGCTACTTTGTGAAATATTTCATAACTGCTCTTAGAAACAAAACACTTGCAAATAATACCTGGTCTTTTGATAACTGGCAGCTTCGTTTTTCGACGTAGATTAATTCTCTGAGCTGATAGATAGCCATTATGCAACCAACTGTTGCAATAATGTACTGCAATTAGTCACGTGTAGTGTGTCAATAGGAGTAAAACCTGTTTTAAAATGTAGTATAAGCACTCGAAGGTTTCAAGTCGCAATGAGGAAAAAAGTTCAAAGACTTTTAAACACTTACCAATCCAGAAAACAACACACCACCCGAACCACACGTCCTTCCGTTGGTTGTAGAATTGACTCGAGCGGGGCAAACAGTCTTCATGAGTTCCTTTAACATGCCACAGCTACTCAGCCATTTCCGCTAGTTCGATGGAAATCACTGTTATTATTTTGCTCCCAAAATCTCTGCGAAGAGGCATAATCCTATAGTAGGTGGCCATCCTATACTGCGGTTGACTCCAAATGGTGCTCAGCAGCTCTATGACAACATCGGTCATTGAGATGTTCCGTTCGGCGCATCTGACTGTCGACATGATTGGTGTATGCTGCTGAATTCCTTGTGTTCAATCTTTGACGATGGAACTTTGGATCTTATTTACCGTCAAATTAGTATAAACGTCTCGATTGCTGACTGATCATCTTGTTGACATAGTCTGCATGTCATCGAGGCACACTTTATGTTAAGAGCAACCTCGAAGAGAAGACAAGAGTGAAGTGGGGGAATTCCTTGTTTTTCTCATTGCTGCTTCGAGGAAAATCTTCCGCTTCTTCCCTCTTTCACAGCTCTGGAGTGGAATCGCTTGCTGTGTTAATTTTTCCGCCGAGATTCACATACCTGTTGTAAGGGCTTAAAAAATAAATCTATTTAATGCGAATACCAGTTTCCTATGAGGGCGTGTGTAGGGCAGTGGTCAGAGGCGCCCTGCAACACACATGTGGAATCGATCCCCGCGCCTATAGCTCACCAAGCCTTTCATCCCTCTAGGGTCGGCAAATTGGTACCAAACTTGTCTGGGAGGATCGCAGCACTGGCTCGATACTTCGGTAGGCCACCGCTAGTTATTGTAAAGGCCAGATATGCATTCAGTCACCTCCAAACGATGCTTTATGAAGCCGAATTCATGACGCATCCCTCAAGGATTGATCAACGTCGAGAGTTTTATCTTTTTTTATGACTCCAGTAATTCGTTTAATCACACGTAGTTCTCAAATTTGGCGTTTACTGTGCAGACTAATGCACCATCCTATGAAAATAATGACATTAGGAAAGTGAAGGTGACATATTTACTAGCCATCGGTGCCCACTCAAGCATGATCCCATTCCAGTCGCATTACTTTTCCAGAAAGGCTGATAACATGCTTTGTGAGATCACTTCACTTTATCAGATCTTTTCTTTAGTTTCCACGTCCGACTTTCTATTAAGCTCGGCACTGATTGAATAATTCCTTCTACTTCTGTTCAGCAAACACGCGGTGTTATTTTATTTCTTTATTTACGTACAAGCTGACGTTTTGGCGGTTTCGCCTTCTTCAGAGCCTGGAAAGGTCAAACTGAGTAACACTTAAGAAATAAATTTGTATTCGCATAAGAAATAGCCTCATCTAAACACCAACCGTTTATTTGTTGTATTTAAGTTAGTTGATGGATAATATTAATATTACTAATAATATATTATATTAATAATGGTAATATTAATTAATATTAATGGGAAATATTACGCGCAAAGCAGAGGGTTGGCAATGGGAGAGCGACTGGCACCAACCCTTGCCGTTGCCTTTATGTCTAAAGTGGAAGCACCAGTAGTCGATCTCAGGCCATTAGTCCACTATAGGCATATAGATGATTGTTTTTCATCTGCTCTACACAAGAGGAGATGGACAAATGTTTTGAGTCATTGAACGAACAGTCAGAGTACATAAAATTCACCCGTGAGAAACCGAGAGAAAACTGGCTTCCATTTCTAAACGTTCAAATCAACCTATCCGAAAAAGGCTACAACACAAAATGGTATCGAAAGCCAAGCAGTAAGAATATAGTGGTTTATTACCTTTCTTCTCATTCCTGATACACTAAAAGGGAGCTTATAAGAAATATGTTTCGAACCGCCGCCAGCGTGTGCACAGGTAGAGAGCAGAGGGAAGAATCCTCGAAACTGGCGCGCCAAATAGCCATTTCAAATGGTTACGAAACTGTAGCTTCTCGGCATAGGCATAGAGGAAAACCCACACCCCAGAGCGATAATTCTAGCGAAAACAAGACTCCGTTTCTCTTGCCATTTATTTCAAACGAAATAAGCTCAGCTAAAAATCGCTTAATAAGGGCCGGTCTAGAGAATTCCGTAAGAGTGATAGAAAAATCATCGGACACCCTAAGACGCCAGCTAGTTAGCAACCGCTTATATTACCGTCTATGTATAACGAAAAACTGCATAATTTGCTCTAACGGTAGAGACGGTGATTGCATGAGTTCGGGTACAGTCTATCTGATCTCTTGTAAAACGTGCAGAGACGAATACGTTGGCGAAACGGGTAGAACACTCTGCGTCCGCATAAAAGAACACCTAGTCGGTAAATCCAAGTTAAAACCAAGCACTCCATTAGGCGCGCATAGGATGCAAGAACACAGCGGAGAAGATTCTGAAGTAGAAGTCACTATCCTCACGCAGGAATCGAAAACATCAGCGTGTAAAACTCTTGAAGCGTTTTGGATCAGTTCCAAAAATTCAAAAATGGACCGCAAGGAGGAGTGCCTTGTCATCACGCGTGACCTAGCGCCATGCCTCAGGCTAATCTTGACACAAGCACAGTCCTCGCCCATGTATTACTCTGTGCGGCTGCTATCCACCAACTAACTTAAATATTACAACAAATAAACGGCTCTGAAGAAGGCGAAACCGCCGAAACGTCAGCTATTGTATCCTAATAAATTCTATAATAATAAGCTCGTGTCTGCTTATTGAAGAAAAACATCGAATTACCAATCGATGCCGAGGGTAACAGGAAGTCGATCTTAGGAGTTTTCGCTGAGTCAGTGAAAATAATGTAAATTGCACATTTAACCCTTGTAATACTTCAGCGAATTTTATTACCGTGTTATTATTACACGTCGTGTTGAGCCCGCTTTTACTTCCTGCTTCCTTATACGGTTTTCCTCTATCAATATACAAATGTTTGACAACCTGGATCTGTAACTGGCGCAGTCTCAACGAATGTTTCACATGTTTTTAAATCTCTTACAGACTCAGGCCCTATTTTTAATTTTTTTTAATCATGAATCTCTTACGGCCTAATAATTCAAAGGACCTGCTTTCTATAAACCTCGGCATGAATAGTTAATATATTTATTTATATGATCTTATAAACTGATCTTCTTGAGCTGATGCGAGGTTGCTATAAGTTCCCATTGTCGTTGTTGTTGTTGTTGTTGTTGTTGTCGTTGTTGTTGGCGTTGTTATTGTTTTTGTTGCTGGTTGATGGCTGACGTTTCGGCGATTTTCCCTTCCCCAGAGCCTTCCTGTAACGAGTTGAGCACTGCTCCGAGGAGGGTGAAATCGCCGAAACGTCAGCCATCTTGCAGCTATTTGAAATGGTTTACAAGCTCGATCAGAAGTCGGTAGTTGCACTGGGTCGTGCAAACTACGCGTTGAGAAATCCGTTAAGGTTTCAGTGACATATGCCTCTTGTAGACTTTCATATCCATTCCTTAAGCCTATATTGAAATTATCGTTTAAGCTTCTCATGTCCCTTATCTTACTGATACCAAAATCTTGCTAATAGCGGGCGAAAGAGCTAGAAAACTCCATTTATGACGGTTGTCGTGTTTTGTTGCCTTCTCTCTTTCGGAAGAAAAGGAGAGTTTTGGACCAAGGAGACAATGGTCCACGTCCTTATAAAACTTTATGGCAACGGCGACATCAGATAATAAAATTTTCCGCCGATAGTTATCATTCTTTCAATTTCTCAACTATTATCCACTAATTTCTTCTGCGTAAAACGTTAGTGCACGGAATTTTCTCACCTGGGCTCTTAGGACGACATCGTATTAAATCTTCCTGGCCTGATCATCATCTCCTCTAATGCAGTCTCCCGAAGGTGGCGTTGCAAATATAAATCATCACTACAGTCCTCGTAATTTTCGACGTAAATGTCGATTTGGTACAAGGAGGAAAATATAGGTCCACCTGCTTCTCAAGTCAAGCACGCGATTATTTTTAGTCGATCTTTAAGCCCATATCCGTTACCTGAAAGCACACCATGTGCTTTTTCCTAAACTTATGCTAAAGTTATCCCTTATTCTTCATAAAATGACTTCAACGTACAACTAGCAGCCCTGACTTTCCTCTATCTTTTATGAAGGACGTGCTAAGAAATCCATAGGTCCAATTATTATCCAGTAGAACAAACTTCGGAGTACGAACACGACAGTTTTCAATGGAAGTGTTTTATCTCTATAAAGGCATATAGCAAATATGTAGTTCTTTCAGAATACTGTTTTGTCATAACCATTCAGCAGCATCTTTGTGCAGTCGCTTCGCCGCTTGAGACACAAGACGATAATGAAACGACCGTGCGTGGGTTCCAAAAGTATTCCGTTTCACCACGGTAGGAGAAGCAGACTTGTAACTCTTCTGATGAGATCGATAGGTCCCAGTTATTTCTTTTCAGCAAAAACCTTACTAGTGTGTAGACATGCTTATTTGAAAGCTGTGGACCAAACCACAGTACAGCAAGAATGAGTTGTGTGTGACTTATGTTTCCTCCTGTGCGTTTATCGAATGTTCTGCATCATAAACTTCGTTCTTGATCCATATTTTCACAACTTCATAGTGCCTTATATAATACGCTATAATGAACTTGAAGTTCTAACTTTCAGCTCAATTTGTTTGTGTTCCTTTTAATCTATAGCCCATCAAAAATCAGAAAAGTGACCACGGGGAGAACTACTCTGGGAACAGTCGTCGTGAATCGAATTCCGATGTGCGTAAAAAATTGAAAGACTACTGTCAGGCTAAGTGCTGTTCATCGATGAAGCTCTTAAAAGAGAGTATGATGCTTTGGTCGCTGCTTGATCGATGCTCAGCGTTACTTCATCTAATACGGGTGATCCTATGAAATTTGTGATTTGAAAGTGAAGAATACTTGTGCTGCTTGAAGAAATTAAATGACACTAGGATAAGTTGACAATCGAATAGCATTCTGAACGAATAGTACAGCATTTTTAACATTTTTGCAGTTTCATAACGGTTACGTCCAAGCTCATAAATGGGCCAAGAAACTGATTCATGAGGTATTTGCAACATATTTAATTTTGAAAACCTTTTCTGACGCAATAAGTGAAGAAGTCTGTAGCAGTTCTCAACAGCTATTGAATGAGTAGCTATTTATGACGTAAAACTAGATTCCTACCTGTGAAATATCCGCCAGAGCATATGCAAACGCAGCATTTTTACTCTTTCCAAGTATCGAGTATCCATAATACACTGCCATCGAAGTGAAGGTCGCTGCTAGGAACGCTAATCCAAGAAATAAGCCTGAGAATGGAACAATTCCTTCAGCAAGCGGATTTGCGGTTTTTCTAGAATATTCTCACCTGTGGTGGTTTTTGAACAGTCAACTCGAATGCGATGCTTCCGCTTCACATATTCCGACCCACGACTACACTTTCCGATATTCCTCCAAACGATGTACATCACAGCAGCGGCTATCAAGGAATACTCAACAATAGCCGTGAACATGACTTCGGAAAGGCCACCTATGATAATATTCGTTATTGTCTTTAATTTTATCAGTTGGCCATTCTTGTTCATGGCAGCTTGTGATGCAAAATGCAACTATAAGGATGCCGAGATATGAGCAAAACTCAGAACTTCAACTGGGCTTCGAAGCCACGATTGCTTCTGCCAAAGGCTTACGTGCTATGGAACACTCCAACCTATGCTCTTGCTTTGCTTTTTCCACAACCGCTTTCTCACTCTAGTAATGTTTATGAATATTTTCACTACATAGCACAACATCACATCTATCACAGGGGATATCCCAGCAGTTATTAAGTTCGATTCGTCTCCTCGTATCCATCATCAACGAAGGTCTTCGAATTTCTTACTGTAGATTTGGTTGCTTCTTAAAGATTTTATTCTTCGTTACGAGTGTCGTTGATGGTTGAGTAAACTCTCCGTGGAACCCTGTGATAACCGGCTTGAATGCTCTCATTTAGATTGCGGGAGGTGAACTATTTGCAAACAACTCTGGCAGCAATTTACCGACTAGATTAGAGAAAGAGTGAGAATATCGATGGGTTCGGAACGGAGTCGAACAATCGTCCTGGTGGATTGGACTGTCCACGTAATAAACGGTATCACAACCACTACGCCACCTACTCCCAGCAATGATAACAATTGATATTTATTGTTATGCTGTTCCTAAACGAAATGAAACGCAGAGAGAATCAAAAGGCAATAGACGGTGGCTGAGACAACACATCCATACTAGCCCTCTATGCCTCATCTCTCGTCTAATTTATATACGAAATGACTATCAGAATTCAGCTTAGAAGGAGGTATTATTTTAGACATGAATCACCCAGTTGATAATTGGTTGAACAGATAGACAACTTTCGCCATGCGTCTTCATCTTAATGTCCTGTCGTCCTTTCGTGGATCGATTACAGAAGGGGCCAGTTCTCAGTTTTTATTTCGTCGCATCCAAGGTTATCATAGTGAATTTGGCGCGCACAAAGAACTCGGAGAGTATCACATTTCGATCTTTGCAAAAAAAGCCTGACATATACTGCTGGAGTATTGCGAGACATTGGTTCTGTTGGACATTAAAGGGCTACCAAAAACGAGCCCGTTTTATTGAGGCTCTTAAGAATGAGTAATGTTTGGGTTGTATCATATTCGTAATGCACTATGGTATTGTCTTTGTAGAATGCTGATCCTGGTTGTGAAATGTATTTTTATAGAGTCGATTTATTTTATTTATCCATTATAGATTTTTATAGCTTTGTTTTTACAGCGCAAGATGCGGATAGCGCAATGGTAGTATGGTGCCGTCTAATACGCACGCTTTATTGGCACAAGACCCTAGTTCGAGAACGCACTGAGCCAATCAAGCATCCGATCCCTTCGAGGTTGGGAACTGTCAACGGACCTGTCTTGGAAGCTTCCTACGGTCAACAGGACCTACTAACGACTTGGCAATTCAATTCCAAAATATGAGAATCCACTCGACCAGCCCTCAACGACATTTATAAAGGAGACAAAAAATCCTTAGCAACGATCAGCCCCAAACACAAATCCAAAGAGCTTCGTGGTTTACGGGTAAGAGAAAGCGAATCGAATGAAAAAAATGCTGCGATCTGCACAATACGCGACGTCGGACATACAAAGAAAGAATTTTTTTTTGCAAAACTCCGGACCGCAGATGTCTGCGGTGAGGAACGAATACACTTATTACCCTTCCCAGGGGCGCATTCACCACCACACCATACTGGTCCTTCGTTCCACCTGTCTCTCAACTAGTTCTATCGATTGGCGCAATCAGCAATCACCGTTGAAAATTATCGTAGGCAGTAAATAAAAAGGCTAAGATTCTGATTTCGACTTCAGCCTCAGCTTAACTAGGTTCGTTGCCGATTTGGGCTCCCTAGATCAGTCCCGTTGACGGGTGATTGCTAATGGCGCCGATCGATAGAACCAGCTGAGAGACAGGCGAAAGGAAGGACCTGAACACGTTACTCTCCGGAAAGGACAGTAGCGCGTTCGTTTCACACCGCAGACACCTGCGTTTCGGAGTTTTGCAATTATTTCAGCATCGTCTTAGTTGTATTTCACATGATACCCTGGCGTTAAAAATTATAATGGGCAATAAGTAAAAAGGTTAGGGAAGAATTTTTTATTTTTTCTACTTCATTTATTTATTATTTCATAGCATTTAGCATTTTAATATTTCATTGCATAATTCATTTCTCAACAGAGGATTACAATATTAGCATTCATTGTGCGTAAAGTTCATCACCACATTCTTTCCAGAGTGGAGTAGACTAGAATGATCCTACGACTTCAACAGCCTACCATGCTCATCTTGTCCAATGCGGTCGTATCGAGACGCCTTCGAGGCCATAGGAATAGGACCCACCATTTTCACTTCTTCTAGAGATAAATAGTTTCGGTAGTTTGTCGAACCCTGGCATAAAGGACTGGATTCAATAACGCTAGTTTGTTGCTCTGATCCTGAGTAGAAGGAGGAGCTCATTTGCTGGAGGCGCTTCCCAAGCACCTTCCATCTTGCTCACGTCGTTACAGGTTTTTGCCGTATTGACGTCCAGGATACACAGACGTAGTTATACTCACGTCCATTCACACTACAAGGGAATGGAGAAGACATGTGTCAATCCGACATACCAGAAACTGACGCCGACTCCAACCATGTTTCCACCCGCGTCCCTCGACAAGTAAAACGTCTGTTTTTGCTTGTGTTTAAGCGTTGCTCGTCAACAAAAAACTCGTTGCACGTTATTTTAGCACTCAAGTCGAGAGTCCACATGCACTTGTCATTCGTCCTTTTCATAATTTATGAACTGTCCTTGGTGCCTTTTTTGGGGGCTGGATTGCAAATTCATAAAGTTGTGATTTTGAAGAACTGAGCTGTGAACTTCAGTTCGATGTTCGATTTTCCAGTAGTTTCTCAAGTGTTTTGTTAAAAGCGTGCAGAGTTCTTAGCATGATTGCGTTGGTTTGTATTCCAGACGGCCTATATACTTGCAGGACATAGTTTCATTGATTAACATTCAAGCCCTATTGATTAACATTCACTCCATGCCTACTTATAGGCAACAGATACTTTCCAGAGAATTTTTAGTGAGAATATAACTTGGCAATGATTATGACAATTTAATGGAAGAATATAGAGAATCATGCACATGTGTGCACAACATGGGCAAATGCACCATTAATCTACTGCCGCATGGCTTTTAACTGCTTCAGTGGATTGGTGTTGCCCCGGCGGACTCGCTTCCGACTCTCACTCTATAGAGAAGTTGCATCGACATCATAGTCGGAGTTTATTCACATCCTAAGGTCCTCTATAATAGACCAGTCATTGATGAAAGTATCCAAAGACTTCATGTTGTTAAAAATCTACAAATAGTGGGCAAGTCATGTCACTCCTAGACCTGACCCCATGAGAAGGTCCATACGAAGCTCATCCAGCTGAGGAATTTTCACAGTTATAAGTGATATACTGAACGAATTTTCTGTTCTCTTCAAGCTGGCTGAAACATTTCCGAAATTCGTAGGTCTCCAATCCGTTCAACAGAATAACTATTATTGTCCGTACAATTGCAGTTACCACCGCACTTCCATTTCCGTCTGTTAGGACTATAGATTGAGATCTTAACCTCTAGAGGAAAGTAACTGTAGCGCTACTTGTGTTCAGTAAAGGAAGCTACCCTACCAGATCGTCATTGTCACGAATGGTTGTCAAAACAACTACCTAGAATGCATTCAGCAGCTCGGCAGCCACTTGCGAAGCCGATTTCCCGACGCTCGAAAGCGTCGTCCGACTTCTCACTTATAACGAGATTAGATCTGTTATTAATTGTTCGGAAGACGTCCCTGAAATGCACGAATGTAAACAAGAGATTTGCATATCCTAGAAAGATGCATGGCTATAGGAGGCAGGCACACATAGCTACTCTTTGTTAATAGATTTTTTATATTTTTTTTTCAAGAAGCGCGGGTAGCAGTGCCATCTCTTGGGGGTCGCTAAATTGCTACTACACTTATACGAGATCTGCTTCCTCTCTCCAATTCTCAGAAACTGGAGAATATTTGTAATAAGGATCAGGAAACAGTTTAGCACAGCTATTGCAGCTTTTCAACAAGATTCAGCTCGACAGACATTCAAGTCAGGACATATAAAATAACTGAAAAGACGAAGAGAAAGGATGAGCAAGTATTACTGTATTTCTTTCTCCATCACTCCCTCTTCCATCAGTACGTATCTGATCCATGTCCAGAGGTTTGCTGCTATCAAGTGCATTGTTCCGAATCGAGCAGCTGTGTGGTGACCAGTTATAGTGAGCTTAAACATTGATGAAAAGTTACTCAATAGCTTTAAACACATTGTTTAATAACTGCTGTATTTTTGAAAACATGAAGGCTCAGGATAGCCAAATTTAAGTTTTCACACTGAAAAAAGTTTGAGAATCTCTTTGAGCATACTTAAACTTTATTGGATATTACTCGCATATCAGCACCTCATTGCGGGCCCAATAAGCCTGCCACGCTTCAGGGTCCCAGAAATTGATCTGGTATCAAGCCACTACTTCCAGTCCGGGTGAGGACGCCCTGATAAGGATATCTCAGAATTTCAGGAGGAATAGCTCGACTGGCATTCGACGACATTCATTCGACACACAGAAGTCTGAAATCCTCAAGCGGTAACAGAACCCGCACACAAAATTTCGAAGGTCTTCGTGGATAACTGACGAGATTAAATGAATCTAAAGCAGAGTACTGGGATCTGCACGATATCTGTAATATCAAGCCATATAAAGTAAAGCTGAAGATTTTCTATTATGTATTCGCACACTACACATCATAGTGACGCGAGTTTGTAAGCTCTGATTCCTATCTACTTGGAAAATTCAAAAGACGGAGAAGGTTTTGTTCACATGAACCTAAACATAATGCCATCAATAATCTATTGATTGAAGTGGAGTTAGTAAGGTCTCCACTGTTTCAGCGATCTAGAGCTCCACAGTGGCTCATCTTTGGTAGAAGATCTTTTATTTTCACTTATTTAGTGTGCAATATCCTACGGATACTCTAAAGATTTTCTCCATCATGCTATATCGTTGCATAATGTACTCACAAAATGAATTTTGGAGTTTTTCAGAGTAAATGTGTAGCCTATTTTTGAAAGATACGAAAAATCGAAGTTGACAAAGCATGGATATGATTTCGGAGAGTATAAGTGGATCTGTTGCACTATAGACAGGAAGCCACTCTCGTGAACACACATCAGGGTTCTATGGCAAGCCGACACCGGCTTTGTACTAGATTTAAGCCTACCGTAATATCTTCAACAGTAATTCCATCTCAGGCCTCAGCTACATTACCTATGGTTACCCAGCCAATCTGCTTTCTTTCATTTATAAGGTTTTTAACGCAATGGCAAAACATTAGACGAATGTAACTTTATAAGCAAGCATAGTTAAGGCAGTTACGTTACAGTGGTGCGACAGCGTTCGACCTTACCAGATTCGAGAGGGTTATGGTAGGAGTATGCATTTCTGAGAAACATGATAAGAGACCTTCGACGGTGAACAACGTCGACAATAAATGGCAAAAGGTGTTGCTGCGATGTCAAAAATAATGGAAACCATAAATTAATGCGTCTTCATGACGAATGTTGAACAAAAGCATTAGCAGACGGTTAACAACGAATGTCAAATAGATTGGAGGAAAACGAATATCCTAGAACAGAAATGTAAAGCTCTCTATCTTTACAACGACATATATATATATATATATATATATGTAAGAATATACATACTTACTTGAATACTTGGATGTCCCGTCTTCACTAGTTGTGCGGGCCTCAGAATTTCCAATCTCCGAAGATTTGACGGTTTAGCCATTGTGGTTCACTGGAGTCCCGAAGTCAGCCTGGCCAAGGCCTGCCCTAGGTCTTCACCACCATAGGCAGTCGCAGCCCTTGTGAATCAGAGGGAGATCTGCCACCATACGACTAGTTTGATACCAGGACGGTGGTCAATCCTTGCATTGGTTTACTCTTAGCTGGGTTTCCTGATGGAAACGACGGGTTTCTTTTCAGCTTGAGAGACCCTGCCCGGGTAATGAATCTCTCCGCTGTACATCATATCGCGACACCCAGGAACACCTCCTAACCATGATGAGGCGGTAAACAGTTGGGAGGATATATATATATATATA